TTCCTGCTGGGAATATAATTGGTTAAAAAAAAAAATCACTTGGGAAAACAATTTGATATAATTTTGTGAAGGTAAATGTGTACATCCTCAAAGTAGTTCACTCCTAGGTAAATGCCCTAGACTGTACAGCCTAGGCAAAGCAAAGTTCAGAATTGCTCTTCACTTGATCAGTAGACTTTAGACTTAAGAGGATGAAGCAAGGAACAACCAGATGAAAAGTATTTAGGGATTCTTAGAGCTGGATGGGGAAAATGGATAGGGTAAGTAGGAGAAGGTATCTAATTAGAACATAAAAAACATCATCCTCTGCACCAGAACATAAAAATCGCCTGCAGCAAGAAATTAAGAACGAGGTAAAGAAACCCTAAATATTGGATATCAAATCTAGTATTTTTACTATTTTTTTCTTTTTAATTTGCTGTAAAGCATGTACCCTCATGCAGGGTGCAGGGATGGTGAGAAAACGCCCCCTAAGGGGAATAGTTATGCTGCAATCCCTTTTTCATTCTCCTCTCCAAATTTTGGGAGCACATGCATGCTTACATGGCGTGTTTCTCAAGTTGCTGGATCTGAGACTCAGACCGCACAGCCAGCCATGTGGGATCCAGCCACCTAGCCGTCATACCACCAGCTGGCCCCAAGGATCTTTGACTTATAAAAATTAGTGTGTGGGGACCAGCAAGTGCTATGGTGGTTAAGGTGTTAGATTCTTACATGGCAAACTGTGGTTCAAGTCCTGGACCTGGTGGCTTGCTTTCTTTCTTTCTCTCTCTCTCTCTCTGGTGAGCACACTTGCCCTATGGCAAATTTTAAAATAACAATAATAATAAATAAAATATTTTTTAAAAAAATTAGTGTACAGGGACCAGCAGTTGGCGTAATGGCTATGTCGCTGGACTCCCATGTAGTCGACCCGGTTCGAGTCCCGGACTTGGTGGCTTAAACTCATGCCAGGTGCATGTGCGTGCGTGGCCAAGATCCCGCGAGGAGAATGGATTGCGGCGTGACCATCCCCCCTGGGGGGTGATTTCTCGCTTTCTGTCTCTCTGTCTCTCTCTGTCTGTCTGGCGAGCACACGCGCCCTATAGTGAAAACCTCTCCAAAAAAAAAAAAAATTAGTGTATAATAAATTTAACTAGATTATATGCTAGGTGCTATGAACATATGAGTTGTTTCTATAAAAGGAAAAAGAAAATCCTAAGCCACAAGCATAAACAAAACTTGTTGTAATATAGCCATACTGTTTAAGTATGCTGTCTCTGTTGTTTGCTACTTATCCAGTATGGTCACGTATTTGCACCTTTTAAATAAGAGATGGGAACAGCCCTATTAAGGCCTGATTCTTGCCACTGTTGCCTAGAACCAAGTGGGAAAAAGCTAGGCTTCTAGCCTTTAGTATAGCAGAAACTCTGGCAGTATTACATTATAAAAGGAAATTGGTTAGTTAACTCAATAAACATTTTTGGAGCTTCCTCCAGTAGGTACCAGGCACTTTGCAGTTGGTAGGATACTAGTTTCTGGATTTTGCTCCAGAGTTCATATGGCTGTGTCAGCTGCTTCCCTTTAAAAAAAAAAAAAAAAAAATTCCTTAAACAAGAGCTTACTATCTTGTGTCCTGATGGGCTCATACAACTAGCCAGTGAGGACTGTAACAGTAAGTGTCTTTGAATGCCTGTAGCTTTTGTAACAACAGTGCTTACATAGATAGCATCCCAACTTAGACTTCTGCCCAGTGTGTTGTCTCTGCAAATGTGTGCATTTATTAATACGATGCTAGGCACTGCTTTTATCACAAGTGGCTTCGTTTGGAAGTGGTTGGTCACCCCAAATGTGTCTCATGTCAGTTTATCTAAAGTAACTTTATTTTTAATTTTGTTCTTTTAGATTCTTAGATATCCATATAATACTGTAAAACATGACATTGGTTAAAATACTAATGGGGCCAGCTGGTGGAATGGTGATTCAGCCTGGATCCCACATGGCTGACTATATGGTTCAAGTCCCAAACCTGGTAGCTTGAAAAACACCCTAGGCACATGTACATGCATGCCCAAAATCCCAAAAGGAGAAATGGAGGATAAGGGATTGTGACATGGTCATCTCCTATGGGGGTATTTTCTCTCTCTCTCTCTCTCTCTCTCTTCCTCTCTTTTCCTCTCCTCCTTTCTGTCCCTTTCCAATGAGAACCACACCCTGTAGCAGAAGTTTTTAAAAAATACTAATGTTAGTAGAGAGCAATAAATCGGAGGACATAAAAACAGTGAAGGTACTTAATGAGAATAGGACAATGTGGAGTGGGATGAGTGAAGAGAAGAGGATAAAGAAGGATAGCAAGTGAACAATAGAGAGACAGGACGTTAGTGAGAAATAGATAGGGCTTATAAACTGTTGATGACATGTATGGTATTCTCAACTGGATTGGTCTGGGAGGTGTTTCATGATGAGCAAAGTATTTTTACAAGCAAAACGAGAAATAGCAATTGACTGTTTTATAAAAATAATTAGAATAATAAAGATAATGATTGGGGAAAACAGAAAGGATATGGAATGTTGAAGTGGGGAGATCAATGTCCCTGTACTGACTGACGTGCATGGCATTCCCTTTTGAAGAAATAATGTAATACACTGTAAAATAGTAGAATATGCCTTTGTTTGATAAGCTATGTGCACATGCGTTGGTAAACTCCCTCTGGAAAGGAACAAGAGAGATTTTTAAAATAATATTACTGGAGATTGCAAAAATAAACAACAAAACTTATTTGAAATACGCAAATATTAAAACACTATAAAGTGTGCCAATAACAGAAAAAAAAAATACTAATGTGACACTGTAAGTGGTCAGTCTATCTTAATAAAAAAACTACAACCCACCAAATAATAACACTCTTTGAATGTTTCTAAGGGCAGACTTTCTTTTAAAAGATGGCTTCTGAGTTATATCCCCAAGTCTCTCTAGTCTACTTGGGCTCCCTAGACCTAATGAAAGCAAATGAAGCTACTTCCCATATGTAACTCCCCTTTGTAGTTGTAGAATTCTACAGTAAAAGAGAATAGACACTGCCAAATGATATGTTTCACTTATCTCTGCAGTGCTGGATATATATATGTATGTGTGTGTGTGTGTATATGAGGTGAACACATTCTTATTGATTGTGTGTGTGTGTGTGTGTATAAAAAATTATATAGATACTTTTTAAATTATATATAACATTTATTATTAAAAATTATATATATACACACACATTCTTATTGATTTTGTCAGTATAAGTTACAAGGAATTCATAATTTGAAGATGTATGAAATCATGAAAAACACTGATCTCTTTGATGTCCATGTTTAATGTAAATTAAAATCACAATATACCGCTATTATTCTCTCATACACTATTGGTAGAAGCATAAAATGGTATAACTATTTTAGAACACTATTCGATAGTGTTCTAAAAAGTTAAGTGTAGGTAATGAAAAGCTATTGGATGATGAAATGGGGATTTTAATGTCTCTGTATTGACTGATGTGCATGTTATACTTCTGGAAAAAGAAATGTAATGCACTATAAAGTTATATGTGATTGAATGTAATATAAACAAGATTATGATGATAAGAAAGAAAAAATACATTATGAAAAAAAGTAGATAGATTTCAAACAAAAATGTTCATCAAAGTAAATCATTCTTTAATTCCAAAAAAATTACTTAAAAGTAATTATTAAAAATTATTAAATTCAGGGGGCCGGCAGGTGGCATGGTGGTTAGGGGCGCTGGACTCCCACATGGTCAAGTCTCAGACCTGGTGGCTTGCTTTCTCACTTTCCCTTTCTTTCTCACTCTGTCCCTCTCTGGAAAAATTAAAATTAATTAATTAATTAAGTTTAATAAAAATTTTTTAAAATTATTAAATTTGGGACCAGTAGTTAGTGTGATTGCTATGTCGCTTAACTCCCATGTTTGAGTCCTGGACCCGATGGCTTAAACTCACACCCGGGCACATATGCATGTGTGCCCAAGATCCCGAGAGAATGGAGGAGAAGGGATTGTGGCGTGACCATCCCCCCTGGAGGGTGATTTCTCGCTTTCTGCCTCTCTGTCTCTCTCTGTCTTTCTGGTGAGTGCATGCGTCCTATAGCAAAAACCTCTCAAAAAAAAAAAAATTTATTAAATTCAAACAAAAACAATGTTAAGTGTAGGGCCAGCAGGTGCCTGTCTCCCACATGACCAACTGTAGTTTGGGTTCCAGACCTGATGGCTTGCTTTCTCACTTTCTCTCTCTGTCTCCCTCTGATGTGTGTACATGTCCTATAGCAAAATTCAAAAATAATAATAAATAATTTTTTAAGTTAGCCATATGATTATATATCATATATATCATATATCATTCATCTTGTAAGTATTATGATGGAAAAGAAAGCATAGGGTGAGGATAAATTAAAGCACATCTTCATAAAGATTTATACATGAATGTTTATAGCAACTTTATTTATAATAGTTGAATACCTAAAACAACTGAAATGTCTATCAACGGGTGATTGATAGACTGTGATGCAGTGAGTGCTCCTCCGTTGAGCAGCTACAACATGGATGAATCTCAAATATGCTGGTAAAAAAAGCCATACCAAAAAAAGTGCTTACATACTCCCTTTCTGGTCCTAGTTACATAAAATTCTAAAAAAATGCTAAGTGTTATATAGTGACACAAAGTAACAGATAAAAAGTGACAGAAAATGACACAAAGATCAGTGATTGCTTGGGGACAGGAAGGAAGTACAGAGGGGAGGGGCATGAGGAAACTTTTGGGGGTGATGATTTCACAGGTGTCTATGTCAGAATATTCAAATTATACGTTTTGGAAATGAACTGTTTGTTGTATGTCCATTATATCTTAACAAAGCTATGAAAAAGGGACCGAACACTAACCTTCCTCCATGTCTCTGTTCAGAGTGTAGCTTCCATCGGCAGTACTTTAAACAGCGTCCATCTTGCTGTGGAGGCAGTACAGAAAACTGTGGACGAACATAAGAAAACCCTGGAGTTACTGCAGAGTGATATGGTAAGGAGATCGGCACTCACCGCTGGAAGTCCGCATGCTGCTCCTGCTCACCCTGCCCTTCTCCGTAGAAGAGTCCATACCAGCTTTCCAGTGATCCGAACAGGCCTTACTATGTACCTGTTTAAGAGGCCGAGAAAGCAATATGTATTACTTGTGCTCCAGTCTGTAAATTAAGCAAAGTAGATGGAATTGAAAGCTGAATATTTTGCAAACAATGATGCTGGAGAAGGTACAGTGGCAAGACAGTTCCTGGGGGTGGAATGAGTTGGTTGGAAGATGGAAAAGAAGGGAAGAGAAATGGAGGAGTGCCTCAGTTATTTATTGCTATATAACAAATCAGTCCAAAGTTTTTACCTTGCTACAGCAAGTTATTATTCAAGATCACTATTTTGTGTGTCAGGAATTTAGACAATGCACTAGATTCCCAGGTGCTCAGAGGCCAAGGGCAGAGGTGCTGTAGGGCGTGCAAGGCCATCTCAAATGTTCTAACTCCAGCCAGGTAGCAACTGAATGTGTCCATAGGTGTGGCCTCAGACTATGCCTCACGGAACAGAAAAACCATCTCCGCTTCTGTCCCCCAGCTGAGCCCAGTCTCAACCCACAGAATCATGAGAAATAATAAATTGTTTTAAACCACAGGGTTTAGGGATGATTTGTTACCCAGCAAAAGATAACAGACAGAAGCAAACCCCCCTGTAGTGCCCCGTTATTGTTTTCAGGTGTCTCTGGGTCTCTTAAGCTGCTGCAGATATAAGCTGCCCAGTCATTCAGGAGCCTTAATTAATCACTTAATGGTAACAGCTCCATGAAGGATTTATAAAGGGTAATAAAGGATAGCACAGCCCTTGCTATCTTGCTGCAGGAATGAGTCATATGACATGAAGTCAGGACTATTTAAGGCACACAAAAGTTCCCTAGCCTCTCTACTAATTTCTAGATCTGTCCTAAATGCTCTTTGCAAGCTTCAGTGTTCTCAGTTTAAACTGGGCAGTTTGTACCTAGGAGACTTGGGCTATCTTAGATAGTTCCAGAAGAGAAGAGAACACTTTTTATTGACTTCGGAACCAGTACTCCTCCTCACTGTTACGTAGTGGACCATCCCAGAGGAAAAAGCATTGATCCCAGTGTAGGATTCTGCTACAATTGCCTTTGAGTAACCTTGTGACCCATGATAATAAAACCCCTCTGACTCAGAGACTTTATTATTATTATTGATTTTCACTGTAGGGCGCGTGCGCTCGCCAGACAGACAGAGAGAGACATAGAGACAGAAAGCGAGAAATCACCCCCCAGGGGGGATGGTCACGCCGCAATCCCTTCTCCTCCATTCTCCTCTCGGGATCTTGGGCACGCACGCACACGCGCCCGGCGTGAGTTTTAAGCCACCGGGTCCGGGACACGAACCGCGGTCGACTACGTGGGAATCCAGCGACATAGCCATTACGCTAACTGCTGGTTCCCTTCCTTTTCTTTTGATTGTTTGTTTTTGTTTCTTATAAAAACAGAGTTGATAAGTATGTAGGATTTTAGATTTCAAGGAAATCATCAGTTGCATTCTTCATAATTAAATCCACCTCTTTTTAAATTTTATTTATTTATTTTAATTTGCCCTGAGAGAGACAGAATGAGAAAGAGAAAAAGTGAGACAGCAAGCCACCAGGTCCGGAACTCGAGCTGTGGTTGGCCATGTTGGAGTCCAGCACCCTTAACCACCATGCCACCTGCCAACCCCAAATCTGCCTCTTAAACTTCCATGGCTGCTGGTAGTAATCCTTCTGTTGGTATACTTTATACTGAGTAAGTCAAAGGTATGGGCTCTGAAGGATTAAGCCATGCAGTTTTTCCCACTGAAGGCAAGTGTATATAAACATGGTGCACTTCAGTCTCTGAGAGAGACTTGAGCAGTGGGGAAGGATGGGAAAGGAAGGGTGACCCTCAAGCACATATGTCAGCATATGACATAAGGTAAAAATTAACATATATTATACATGACTGGTAGGTACGCTCAGTGCCCAAAGGCAGTGGTTACATGACTGGCTGCACTTTAACTCCCAGACCTTTTTAGTCCAGTGGAAATTACAATACTTTTCCAAGTTCAGGCTGAGTGGGCCCTGCAAGCTATAGTGATTCTGCAGTTTCTGTGAGAATATGGGTAGTGGGGAAGAGGAGAAATGGCTTCTGAGGAGCTCATTCTATTAAGAGATTGTGAAACAGAATGAGAGGGTCTCAGATCCCTGGGGTAATCTAGGTCTTTCTGGTCCTTCCTCCAAGTACATGGTGCCCCTAGGGCCTATCACAGGACTAGCTACTCCACAGGTTCTGAGGACACACTTGCTGATGCACCCTGATGGAGACTGGAATGTTCCAGGACTATCCCAGATGCTCAGGTAGGCCTATGAGTTACTTGTCATCTGTACTAACCTCCATTCCTGTTAACAGAATCAGCACATCTTGAAGGAGACCAGTGGAAGCAACCAGATCACTCCATCACCTCCAGCTACATTAGACCCTGACAATAAAACCCACAGTGAGAATTTGAAACAGGTACATTTTGCCTCTGGCTTAATCCCTCAGGACCACAAAGGGATGCAGTCCAAGCAGTTGGGCTTAGTGTTCTGATACCTCAGCGGGCACCTTCGGCATCAGCTCACCTGCCTGAGAGCCAAGCAGGGAGCGTGTGCATTAGTATCTTGGGGTCTACAGCACTGTCCTGCCTCTCGTTTGGCATTCTGCTTTATTTTCCTGCATGTTAATCAGTGGAGTAAATTCTTTTTCACATCTTGAAAAATGTAGAATGACCAGATAATCCTGAAACTCTTTATGAAAAATCGCATTCTGGGCAGGTTAAAGGTGGATGGGGAGCAGATCAATCCGGAGTGATGGCTACTTTGAGCCACAGTAAATTCTAAGAATGTTAGAAAGCATGTCCTTGAAAATCAGGATTTTCTAAAGTCTGAAGACAAAAGGCAAGGGGGAAAAAGGGATATTGAGTTCAGAATCCCATTAAAGAAATAAAGGAAATCTTCACTAAGGAGAATGCCCGTCCTGAATTTAATGCCCTTTAAAGCCTACAGTCATCATTCCTTTTTAAGTAGCAATCAGTTCTAGAAGGTGTCGATAAAAATAATTGAATCTTGTACTAAATAATGCACTACTTGTTATGGTTTTGTTACATGAGCCAATTCAGTAATTGGTATTGTTCTTAAGGTAGTTTTGTTCTGATAAATTGGGTTAATGGGCCTTTCAGCAAGCTTTCCCACCAGCAGGTGTGATAAACACTGGGATGTCAATTCCCAAGCTCCCAGCTTTCTGGGACCAGAGAGTGAATCATGTAGGTGATTCTCTTCCTTCTTCCTCCTCCTGTCTAGCAGAAGTAAAACAATTCCAGAGCGAGCTAACTGGGAGCAACGTAGACTGGGAGGGACAAAACATAGACAGACAATTGATGATCAAAACCAGGGGGAACCAGCAGTTGGCGTACTGGCTATGTCGCTGGACTCCCACGTAGTCGACCGTGGTTCATGTCCCGGACCCGGTGGCTTAAAACTCACGCCAGGCGCGTGTGCGTGCGTGCCCAAGATCCCGAGAGGAGAATGGAGGAGAGGGGATTGCGGCGTGACCATCCCCCTGGGGGGTGATTTCTCGCTTTCTGTCTCTATGTCTCTCTCTGTCTGGCAAGCGCACACGCCCTATAGTGAAAACCTCTCCAAAAAAAAAAAAAGAAAAACAGGAAAAGGAGTTTACATCAGTAATGTGACAGAATAATGGTGGTTTGGTGCTACTGTCCTGCATGTCTAATACACATCTTTAGCTGGATTCCACAACTTGATTTATTTCTACTCTAGGATATCCTGTACCTTCACGACTCTTTAGAAGAGGTAAACAGTGCCCTAGTGGGGTACCAGAGACAGAATGATCTCAGACTCGAGGGAATGAATGAGACAGTCAGTAATCTTACCCAGAGAGTCAACCTCATAGAAAGCGATATGGTTGCCATGAGCAAGGTAGAAAAGAGAGCAAACCTGTCCCTCAGCACGGTAAGCCTTTTCAGCTCTTTTGTGACATGTTTTGTGTGGCAGTGTATTATGTCGTTGCGTGTCTTTGTTGTGTCTTTGACACTTTCGAGAACAGTCTTCTTGCATATTTGAGAGGCTGCAAGTCTGTGCTATGCCCAGTCTGAGTCTCCTTTAGTCCTCACACCAGCTCTGCAATGTGGCTGGCACAGGCAGGGTCATTCCCGATGCAGAAAGGAAGATGTGGAGAGGTCAGTCTCTTGCCAAGGCCTCACCACAAGTGGTTGGCAGAGATGACAGACTCCCTGTTGTGTTACCAGTGACCCATCAGGTAGGGAAGCATAGCCAGCTATTCCTAAGGGAGGCCTCCTGGATCTTTTCTGTTTAGAGTTTGGGTAGGAGCAATGACAGGGAGTAACCAGAAATCTTTTGCCATTTTTTTAAAGCCTGAACTTGGCTTTCAGATTTATCCTGCATCTATCTGCTTATTCAGGGAACAGTTTGCATTTCATGTCAGGAAAGACACTTAAAATAGATCATGTTAGGGATCAGCAGATGGCATGGTAGTTAAGGCACTGAAGTCCAATGAGGCTAACTGTGGTTCAAGACCTGGACCTGGCAGTTTTAAAATTCACACTGAGTGTGCGTACATGCACAAAATCCCGAGAGGAGAATGGAGAAGGGATTGCACCATGGCCATCCCCCAGAGAGTGATTTCTCACTTTCCCTCTCACTGTCTTTCACTGTCTCTCACTGTCTCTGTCACTCTCTGGCAAGCACACGCACTTTATGGTAAAAACCTTTAAAAAACTAAAGTAAAATAAAATAGACCAGGTCAAACCAATTCCTCACCTTAAGAGGTTACTGAGATCAACCCCTCATTTTACATATAATGAAAGAGTAATGGATGCTGGTAGGCCATGCAGTATACTGGTTTTTATGTTATCATGAATATAATATGTTGGTTTATTGTTTAATATCTGCCAGCCCCATTTTTAAAATTTTCATTCAGCAAAGACACAGGCATATATTTAAAAATGGAAACCAAATACAGGAAATTATACTGTGAATTCAAGTAACCGCTAAAGCTGGAAGCAAGCCCACAGATCGAGTGGAACTTGGCACCTGGAAGGCAGCATGCGAGCCGGCTCTGCCACACGAGCCCTGGCCAGTTGCCTGGCCTTGTCTTTGAGGGTGGAATAGGAAGCACCCCCACGCCCCACCACTTTACAGGAGTGTATATTTTACTACAAAGCTGCCAAGATTAAAGGAGCCTTATTTTTAAAAGCCCTTTCAAACTCAGCTAAGTCGGGGCCAGGAATTTTGGGTGATCTGATGAATATTATGCCTTGAAGGTTGGCAAGGCTTGTGAAAACATACCAGCCCCAAGTTCCCCTGACTGTCCCTGACCTCCCCACTTTTATTTTATTTTTCTCCAGCAAAGGACATTGGTAATAGTATCCATCTGTTCTTGCATTTCTTCCAGCAGCATCTACCCAGCATGGCTCTGGGTAAAAGTTGCCCTTTATGTTTCAGAGTTTCAGGCTTGTGCCTGGAGCGGTGGAAACACCAGTTTGTTTGTGTCTCCATGCCTCACTCCTTCTCTCCCACCGGCCACTTCTGTCTAATGTCTTCTGAGACCCTCTAAGTAAATTCTCTTAATTTGTTTAAAAAGTGCCAAATGTTGTTCAAGCTTGAATGATGGCCTTTATTCATCTATTCTTGTTCTTTTTACCCTTTAAGATGGGTGACAGACCTGCCACTCTGAAAAGAGAGTCTTTGAATCCAGTGACCAACAGATCAGATACATTGAAAACCCAAAGCATCAAGGTAAATAATGGGAGGCGTGCACTGAAGTAAAAATAAATGCATCAGCACTGCTGTGCGTTTGACCTACTGCTGCTTTCTTCAAAGGAGCACTTTGGTCTCATACTGAAACTTCAAGACAAAGCAATTAGTAGATGCATGAGTGAATGAATATGTTATCAGGTACCCACTCAAGGCCAAGCACCTTGTTTGGAACTGACGTGATCACAGTGAGCAGGACAGACATGTGACCCCATTCTGATGGAGCTTAAAGTCCAACAGTCAGGAAATCATTAACACATACTTGAACAGATAATCACAAGTATAAAAAGTGCTATCGGGAACCAGCAGTTAGCGTAATGGCTATGTCGCTGGACTCCCACGTAGTCGACCGCGGTTCACGTCCTGGACCCGGTGGCTTAAAGCTCACGCCGGGCGCGTGTGCGTGTGTGCCCAAGATCCCGAGAGGAGAAGAGGAGAAGGGATTGTGGCATGACCATCCCCTCTGGGGGGGTGATTTCTCGCTTTCTGTCTGTCTCTGTCTGTCTGACAAGCGCAGACGCCCTATAGCGAAAACCTCTCCAAAAAAAAAAAAAAAAAAAGTGCTATAAAGGAAATGAATATGGTATGATGAGGGGGTTAACAGAGTTCAGGAAGGCTTCCCTCAGGAAATGATTTTTAAGCCAAGATAGTAAGTTATCTGTATTCATGAGGGGAGACAGAGGCATAGATAATCCAAAAATGGCATCTAACCTAAAAATCATTTCCCACTTTTAGATTTCACTCTTGATACATTCAAAGTCCATTTAAGCTTGAGCCAGTACACCTCACCTTATCCTTTCTTCTTTTTTGTTCTTCCCAGATACTTGTCAAAATAAGACAAGCAGTATGTGATATGCTTTGCTATTCCAGGAAAAAAAGTTTGACTACAATATTCTCTGGTTGTTCAGTACTAAGATAAGGAAAGGCCAGGAAGATTGAAACTAAGTGACTAAAATATTATCTTAGGTGCACTGTGATTGGAGAAGCTCGGAGGATGAGGTTCAGGGGAAGTGAGCTTGGACTGAGCTTGGACTGGAGTTGTAATACAGGCAGCTTTTGATGCAGTGCTTTCCATCTTTATTTCTTCATCCTTAACAGTTTCTTATTACATAAAGTCACCTATATTCAGGTCTGAATGTGTCATAAGACATGCTTCTGTTGAGTTTATTCTTTAAGCCTTATTAGTGAGGCAGGAAAAATTCAAGAGCCAGTTTTAAGCGTTGACTGCAAAAAAATAACAGTTGGATACTATTAAAAAGTAGTAGGGGCCAGCAGGTGGCATGGCGATTGAGGTACTGGACTTCCAACATGGCCAACCGCCATTCGAGTCCTGGAGGTGTCAGCTTGAAAATCATGCCAGGCACATGTGCATGTGTACCTAGAATCCCAGAACAGGAATGGAGGAGGGCTTACATCATGGCCATCCCTTGCTGGGGGGTGATTTCTCACTTTCCTTCTCCCTGGCTCTTGGTATGCATACGTGCCCTGTCACAAAACCAGATAGATAGATAGACAGACAGACAGATAGACAGACAGATAGATAGATAGTACTAGTGATTTTAGCATCTGTTCACATTTTAATGGTAAGTATCAGAACACAACCCTGGTACATTTTTAAAAATGATTATTTATCTAATTTTATTTATCATTATTCTTCAGTTTGCTACAGGGCATGTGTGCTCACAAGAGAGAGACAGTGAGAAAGCAGCAAGCTCTCAGGTCTGGGACTCAAATCACAGTCAGCTAATTGGGAATCCAGCCACTCCAATCACCACGCCACCACCTGGCCCCCACTAGTACAAACTTTTACCTTAATTTCTTGATTTTATTTTCAGACCTTTTGCTTTTTTTTTTTAAAGAGGATTTTTGCTATAGGGCATATATGCTTGCAGGAGAGAGAGACAGACAGAAAGCAAGAAATCACCCCCGAGGGAGGATGGCCATGCTGCAATCCCTTCTTCTCCATTCTTATCTCTGGATCTTGGGCATACACGCACATATGCCTGGCATGAGTTTTTAAGTCACTGGGTCTGGGACTCGAACCATGGTTGACTATATGGGAGTCCAGTGATGTAACCATTATACCATCTGCTGATCTCTAACCTTTTGTATTTTTAATGGTCCTCCCAGTGTATCATGTCTCTTTGTCCTACTTTGTCCAAGCATCCTTAACAGATATAATTTTATCTTACTTTTCATTCAAACATTTATCAGTAACACCAAGTTTTGTACTTATTTTAGCTCCCTAAGTAAACCAAGAGTCATGTGCATTTATTAGAATAGAAATAAAGGTAGGAGAGGGATGAGTAAATACATATTTGAATAAAAGGTATGTGTGATGAGTTGCTATACTAATCAAACAGAGGACCAAGACCTTTCTTACTAGCCACATTGAAACCAGACTGCTCTCTTTTTATAATTAAATGTTTATATGTCATTCTCGGATTCTCCTGAGAATAAGGCAGAGTTTGGGGAAATTTTTTTTTTAAATGTGAGTTAGTAAGACTTGGAAGTAGAAATAATATAGCACCTTCTTCCTAAGCTGACAGTTTCTGCCACCAGTCAGAGCATCCCATGACAGGACAAAGGGAAGATCAGGGAATACTTGTGGTTTGGTTTTGGTTTAGTCCAGTTTTGGGGGTTTTCTTTGTTTTGTTTTTTTGGTTTTTTGTTTTTTTTAAGGGTGGTACGAGCATAAAATTCTGCCTGAAGTGGTCTAGTCACAAGGCAATGTAAGATATTCAGGTAAGTTATTTAGTTAGTGTGAAATAGCTCCTGGAAAACAATATCCTACTCATTTAGGAAATGGGTGTCACGTAGGCACCTGAGCAAGGGTACGTTTCCTTTACTGCTGACGCATGCATGCCTTCCCCCATCAGCCGAATGTTCGCAGTGCATCAGATCCTCTGTAGCATAATGTTCCCTAATGGTCTGGCCTCCAATCCAGCAAGACACTCAGCAGCACCAAGTGCCAGGGTATCCAGTATTTGTCAATTCAGTCCTCATTACCTTTAGAGGGAACCTGCCAAGGGTCCAGCTAATATGCTAAATAGTTAAAGTCTATCTATTATTGACATGCTAAGTAGGCTCTGGGAATAAAATGGAAACTCAGAAGAGGTCTTGCTTCCACCTTAAACCTTCCGTAATCTTTGTTTTGAGCAGAAAGAAGATAGTTCAAATTCTCAGGTATCCAAGCTCAGAGAGAAACTGCAGTTGATCAGTGCCCTCACAAACAAACCTGACAGCACCAGGCCTCCAGAGACCACTGGCAAAGGTGAGCGCAGGGCTGACATCTGAATATTTCACACAGGCTTGGGCAGCTTGCCTCCCTCCCACACAGGGAGTGGGGAAGGTATTCCAGCAATACCGATCAAACCCAGTGAGTGATGCCTGAGCGCACCGACATGAAGCTGATACACTTTGGTTTCATTTAGAAAAAGCCCATTTGGTACATGATTTGTGCTCTAGTCTATTAAGGGGAGAATGGGTAATGTTTAGCTGAAAATGGACTTCTCCATGCTGTCTGCATCCAATTATAGGCAGAGGCGTTACTGTCGTAGCATATGAAGCCAGCCCTAAATGTTCCTTATGGGAGTCTTTTCATTTCTATGAGTACATAAAATTTACTTAAAAATAAATATTAGTCTTTCTGAAAATCGTTAACAAATAATGATGGAATCATTGAGTTGGGAGGGTCCTTGGCTTTAGCTGGGAGCATACCTAATCAATATTAGTGCATACATTAACCCGACTGATTTAGGCCCTGTGAGGATGTGACTAAGGAACTGGGCTGTGTTGGCTTTGACTCCTCCTCCCTTCACTCTCACCCCCCTCCCCCAGTATTTTTCAGTTTTGGAAAAATGAATGCAACCTCTCTTGAATTCTCTTTTGGATGGGAGACAGAGCTACAGTGGGAGACCTTGTCCTAACATTGCAGTACAGATCTTCTGGAAGCAGCTCTGTTAGCACCAGCTTGACTGGTGGCATGTTGACCTAGACTGGACTCATAGCAGGTCTCCCAGAATGTCAGAAGATCTTTAATGTCCAACTCCTATGCTATTGTCACCTGGCAGCTCTCATGCTTCCCATCCAAACACATGTAGGCACTAACTTGTTAATTATAAGGTCTTTCAATAGCCTGCTTCACACCTTCAAGGAATAGAGTATTGATTGATCTTCACTTGCCCACAAACATCAAACATATCTCCATCCTAGTCTTTAACCTTACATAGTCAGTATGCTACTTAATTCTCAGCTGTTTCTATTAAATTAAGTACACATGCAGTTGCCCTAAAAGGTGACCTTCAAGGTTCGTTTAATTTGGTATTTGATTTTATAATATATATGCATTTCTTTCAGAGCAAGTACAGAGCTTCACTGCAAAGCCATCAGCATTGCCAAAATTGTCACAGTCTCTTGGAGACCAAATTGGGAAAGCCACCCAACCAAGGCCTATCTCCTTACCAGGAATCTCTAGCATTGAAGGTAAATTTTTATTCTACAGGATAATGGCAGGAATGTTCAAAATAATAACTTTTTAATGTTGTTTTTACCCTGCAAAAAATAAGTATCAAGTGTTTATTGAGTGCTTCCTATGGGCCAGATACTCGATAGGCATTACATCAAATAATCCTGGTAAGCATCTTCTGAATGTAAACATTCAGTTGTTCTACTCACTTTCCTGATAGGAAAACTTCTTAAGTCCGTACAGCAAATAATTACTTGAAACAGAGTTCAGACAGACAGACCGACATCAAAGCTGGCACTCTTAACCAGTATACTATTAATGCTTTTAAGGTCTTTTTTTTCTTTCTTTTGAGTGCCTCATTAGACAAAGAGCTAAGCAATAAGAGTGCAGTATAAGGTACATGCCTTGCTTTCCTACCTCAAAGATACAAGAGTATAGTGGAGAAGGCATAAAAGCAAATGTAATAATATCACAAGATTAGCAAAATACAGTAAAAGTTGACCTGATTTATCAGGGTCTCCAAAAATCAGCAAAATAAACATTAGTAGAAAGGATATGGCTTCCGAAGAAACAGGTTTGCCTTGCTTCCCACAGTGTGTGTCATATACTTCATGACATTTTTTGCGATTGCCAGCCACCTGGCAGATCACCCATTGCTGTCCACCTGCCTTTTTCTGGCTCTTCACTTTGGCTTTGAGACCATTCCACCTGGAAACGTTCTCCTACCTCCCCGGACTGGACGGGGTTCCTGTTGTGTGCTCTTTTATTTTGTGTTCGCTCTGTTTAGCATATGTCACTCTGTTGGAATTTTCTGAGGAGATGCAAAATTTAGCTGTGTATGAGTAAGGACAATGTTTTATTCACTCTCAGCGCCATGTGATTACTTTTTCTCCCATCCTGTATTTCTTTTTCTTCGTGTTTAATGAAGAGGGAGACTGTTAAGTTGTTTTCAATGAAAATACAAGTTGCCTCTTCCTACTCTCTGACATTACATCAAGAACAGATGAGACCAAAGAGGAGAGACTGTTCGATCAGATTAAGGAGTAGCTGCCTTTGTATTTGGACTTCAGTCTTCATCGTAATCCACAGACAGTTGTGAATGACTACACTTTTGAAATTACCTAAAGCAGCAAGCATATTTTTATTTGAATACTGCTGCCAAGTACAAAGCAGGTTGTATAACCTCATGCCACCAAAGAGAAAAAAATTTTTTCCAGCTAGCCACTTGGTGGCAGGCATTGAGAACAAGTGTCCCACCTGCTTTCCCAACTTTCAGAGAGCATCTGAGGTTCTATTAGCTGCATTGCTTGGCCTATCTTAGGAGTATGAGTAGGGCCCCATTCTAAAGCTTGTTTATAAGAACTCCTTGATGGAGTAGACCTTAAGCTATCGTTTTTTTTCCTTCCCTTTGGGCTGTTTTCTTCCCCCTAATCCCCACTCCACTGCTTGCCAGAGAAGGGGGGAAAGAAAGCATCCCCATGGGGAGTGATCAGCACCACAATCCCTTCACCTCCACTGAGTCCAGGACTCCAACTGCCAGGTCACCCATGTAGGATCTAGCTGCCTTTAGCTGCCAGGCCCCAGAGCTAGCCCAGGTCGTTTTTTGGGTTTTTTTGTATTTTTGTTTTTGTTTTTTGGTTGTTTTTGCTGTAAGGCACATGCACTCTCTAGAAAGACAGAGAGACAGAAACCAAGCAGTCACACACACACACACACACACACACACACACGGGGGATGGCCACGCTGCAGTCCCTTCTCCTCCATTCTTCTCTCGGAATCTTGAGCACGCACACACACGCACCCAGTGTAAGTTTAAGCCTCGGGTCCAGGACTCAACTACATGGGAGTCCAGCAACATAGCCATTATGCCATCTACTGGTCCCGAGCCGAGGTAGATTTTTAAAGAAAAATAAACCCCATTGACCTTCTTTGTTGTTAGGGACATACTCAAGTCCTTTTTAAGTGCTATGTAATTAAATGTCCCTCCTAAGTGTTTATAATAGGGCTCCTGAGAAAATACTGGAAGAGACTATTGATAGAAATTTTCTAATCCTGGGACCAGCAGATGGCATAATGGTTATGTCGCTGGACTCCCATGTTGTCGACCACGGTTTGATTCCCAGAACTGGCAGCTTAAAGCTCGTGTGGGGCACATGTGTATGCGTGCCCAAGATCCCGAGAGAATGACGGAGAAGGGACTGTGGAGTTGCCATCCACCCCCCCTGGGGGTAGGGGGTGATTTCTCACTTTCTGTCTCTCTGGCAAACGCACATGCCCTATAGCAAAAATCTCTCTCAAAAGAAAACACAAAGAAATTTTCCAATCCTATTGGCTAAAATAGAAGATATCAACTGGTGATATTGCTCTCCTTCATATCTACCCCTGTACACACAAAATATGTGAGCATATACATACATGTGTATAGATAAAAATGTAGAGAGAAGACTTTGAAGAGATACACAGTTCTCTAGTTCTTTTGTTTAAATTGAGATTATAATTCATATACCATAGTATTCACCCTTGTAAAATGTATAATTCAGTGGTTTTTACTATATTCACAAGATTATACAACCACTACCACTGTGTAATTTCAGACCATTTTCATCACCCCAAAAGAATCTCTAGACCCATTTTTTTTTCTTTTTTTGGAGAGGTTTTCACTATAGTGTACGTGCGCTCGCCAGACAGACAGAGAGAGACAGAGAGACAGAAAGCGAGAAATCCCCCCCCAGGGGGGATGGCCATGCCGCAATCCCTTCTCCTCCATTCTCCTCTCAGGATCTTGGGCACGCATGCACACGTGCCCAGGGTGAGTTTAAGCCACCGGGTCCGGGACTCGAACCGTGGTCAACTATGTGGGAGTCCAGTGACATAGCCATTACGCTAACTGCTGGTCCCTCTAGACCCATTTTTTCTTTTTAATTTTTTTCCCTGATTTTCCCAGAGGGTACATATGCTCACCAGAGAGAGAAAGGAAAGGCAAAAGAGTGCACCCATGGGGAACAAGCACATTACAATCCTTTTTCCTTCATTTTACCTCCTTTTGGGATTTTGGGCACGCACACACATACTCTTGACATTTTTCAAGCCACTGGGTCTGGAACTTGAACCATGCCGTCGGCCATATGGGATCCAGCCACCCTTACCTGCCACACCACAGGCTGGCCCCCCGTACCCATTTAACTCTCACTCCCCAGTCTTTCCTCACTCGAGACCCAGGCAAAGACTAATCCCTGAACCACTGTCTCTGTAGATTTGCCTGTTCGGGATGTTTTATATGAATGGAATCATACACTACAATGTATGCTGCTTTCAGTATGTTTCTTTCACTTAACAGCATGTTTTCACAGGCTCTTCATGTCATAGCATATAGCAGTACTTCATTTCTTTTTGAATGACATTGCATTGTGTGGACACACTACATTTCACTCAGTAATTCATCAGTCCGTGGACATTTGGGTTGTTTCTACTTGTAAGGAATAATACTGCTGTGAACATTTGCATGCAGGTTTTTATGTAGAAATACATTTTATTTATCTTGTGTATATACCTAGGAATGACATTGGTAGTTTATATGGTAACTCTTTTTGTAGAACTGCCAAAGTTTTGCAAACTTCCCAGACTGTTTTCCAAAATGGCTGTACCATTTTACATTCTCATCAGCAAGGTATGAGGGTTCAACACTTCATATGCACACCAACAATTACTGCACAAACTTTTTTCCTTTATTTAATGAGAGTGGAGAGGAAGAGGGAGGCATTTTTGACAGGCTCTCACCATGTTGTGATCCTCTGTCCCAGCCTCCCAGTAGGCTAGGATTGCAGACACACACTACCGTACCTGGTCTATTTAAGTTGGTCCTGGAACTGAACTTGAGCTTCCCGTGTGGCCCTTCAGCCTTACATAGCAGCACTCAACCACTTGTGTCACCATGGCTGGGCATGCCCATTTTTTTTTAGCATAGTCATGCTAGAGATTATGAAGTGAAATCTTATTATGATTTTGAGTTCCTAGTTCTTGGACTGCTTAATTTCTGGATCCAGATAGATAGAGTCAAGTAGTAGAAAGAACACCAGACTTAGATAATAAAGAAATTTGTAGCCCATGTCTAGACACCTAAGAGTTATACGACCTTAGGCCAGTTACTCTCTTCTTGAAACTTAAGTTTTCCCGTCAAAACTAAAAACAACAGGTATCTGGGATTGTGACTGCTTAAGGATTTCCAATGTTCCTTCAGTTCCCACTAAGCTGTCCAATAGGAAATTTCATAATGCCTGACAGTCGGTTTTACAGACTAACTTCTATCAAGAAGCACTTTAGGATTTTGCATTCCTTTTCACTCCTTTGGCATAAGAATAAAATCTAGAAAATCTAAAGGGAAGGCCCTGAGCCAAGATAAAAGAAGTTAATTCATTTCTGCTGTCATTATCTGACACAGCTTGTGTTTGGGGGGGGTTGGTATCATATAGTATTCCTCTTGTTCTTAGGGGAAAAAAATCAAAAGTTAGTCTTTCTGGTTTTCCAAGATCCTAAACTTTACCTATTGGAAACAAAATCTGTGAATAGCTTTTTTTTTAGTGCTTTAAATTCAGTTGAGGCTACTTTTAACTAAATTTGCTATATGTATAGACATACACATTTTGTGTAATTCCTTTTTGACAGATCTTCAGGATTTATTTCACAAGACTGGCCAGGATGTGGATGGGAAGCTGACCTACCAGGAAATCTGGAACTCCTTAGGTTCTGCCATGCCAGAGCCAGAGGGCTTGAAAGCCTTTGATTCCAATGGAGATGGAAGATACTCATTTCTAGAGCTAAGAGTAGCTTTAGGTGTCTAGCCTTAGACACCTAAACATCAGGCTTGTTTTAGAAATGGATCTATACCCTGGACTACCAAGCATCTACATACCTAACAAAAACAACCCTTTACGTACCCATCAATTCTACAGTCCTCCAAACTATTGTAGCAGACACATTGCCACCTTTTAACTTGTTTGAAGAAGCTGTATAAAAGTTATTTTTTTAAAGAGAAGATCATTTTACTTATATTATGATGTTTAAAAATCTATAATTTCCTGAAACCAATGAGATCTTACATTTTAAAATTGTGAGGGAAAAAAAGGAATAATAAAGCCTCCTTCCCCCACCCCTTTTTTTCCTCTTTCCTTTTTTTGAGGGAAGGAGACCTTATCTTTTAAAACTGGAAATGTGTATATAGAGAAAATAAGCCACATTTTATATTTCACATAAATTTGCCTTAAATTAGCTGCACTTTATAGAGACTCAGAAAATGTCTTTTCTTTACAAGATAAGCCTTTTCTGTTTGTAAATATTTAAAATGAAAGAAAGAGTTGTGCATATTGTATGGGAAGTAGAATGGTTTTGAACAGGATATAAACCGATGACTTGTTATGAAAAATTCTGATCCAATCCAGGTAGCAGCTGAACCCGTGTCCATGTCTCCTTCAGGCATCCCTCAAAGGCCCGAGCTGCCATGACGTCTGGCCTGTTGGCTGGGAGTGGGTCCGTGGAGTGGGCGCTGTGGTGACAGTGCCAACTCCAGGCTCAAGAAAGTAGGATTCTGGTTCTTTGTTCCTGTTCCCTCAGTTAATGCCAACCTGGCAACAAGAGAAGTCTATTGGGGATTTTTTTTCTCATTTTTAACCTTATTTCAGGTTTTATGAGCATAAAAGGTTATCCAGTGGAGAGCTTCATTTTCCCCCAAGTAAGCTAGATTGTCTCCCCGTACCCACCCCCTCAAGGCTTACCATAAAGCTGTAGCTGGCTCCCACCTCCAGTTCCACCTCCATTTGAACGGCAGGGCTAAAGCATTGTCAGTGTCTCAGGGTCAGTGTCTCAGACTAGCCACTCCGAGTTTAGAAGAGAACTGTGCCTCTAATTTTGACCCAGGAAACTACTCCTTGAGATTTCAACTGGGGGCTAACCAAGAACTTGGTGTGTTTCTCTGTTGAATGATTAAAGCTGGAAAGGTTGCAAAATCATGCTCAGTTTCCTTACAGCGACCAGCTCTGAGGTAATGAGAGGCCTTCTGGGCAGAGTTCCCAGGCTCTAGCAGGCAGACCTGGAACCGGGGCCTGCCCATAAGGGCAGCACGTCTTTTCAGATCTAAGATGAGTAAATGCAGTACTTCTCCTTTTAAGCACTTCAGTGGACCTAGCAGAACAGGTCTCTGGACTGAAAGGAATAGTACCTCCACGTCACCTGCATGTTGGGTCTAGACTTGCTGTGTTCCTGGAAGCAGTCTTGGACAACACAAAAGGAAAAAGCTTTACAAACCATAACTTTACCATAGGCCCAGTCAGGGTAAAGAAACTCGAGAAGCTCTTACAGCAGACTTCAGTTCAGATCGTTTCCATTTTGACTTTGTTCCAATTGCCCTCAGCCACAGATGCAGTCCAAGACCCTTAAATATTTAAGGACTGTCTCTTCACTTTGTTTGGTGTTGGCTAACCTTGCATTTTGTTCTAGATGTATGAAAATTAAAGATGAAGTCTTTTCCCATGAATGTATCTGCTTATCTCATTGTGGCTTTTGCTTTGCTCTCTTGTTTTTTTCCCTCGTAACATTTCCCTTGCCTATCTGAGTTATTCCACTTTCTCGGAGAGGTTTCACTATAGTATAAAATTAGCCTGGCACTTTCGGTAACTTGAAGATCATTCTTACTCTTCAGGCTGCCTTCCATCCCTCGCCTTTTCTTTTTAATATATATACCCTTGCAGATTCTGTAACAACCAAATAAAATTCTAGCAATAAATTGAATTATACTGCTCTATTCGTATATACTGTACCATAAATAGTATGTCTGTACCTGGAAGGTATTCTTTTTTTTTTTTTTTTTTGAGAACTGATTTATATGAAATATTCTTGAGGGTAATGTAGCTTGTCCTTTTTAGTTTCAAATTCTTATTCATAGGCAGATATTTTGAGGACACCTTAACTCTTTGTTGTATGGACTTTCTTTTTGCATCAGGGAGAAATCAGTTTTGTTTTTTAGTTCATTTTTCTGTTCTCGCCTGGAGGTTACCTGGCTCTCATCATCCTTGAGCCAGCGTGTAGCACTGTCCTCTCCCCGGTCACATCGTGTTGGCAGAGGCTGCGTGCCACCCTCTCAGAGCCTGGTCGTCCTATCTTCCAGGCAGAACTCCTTCTTTCAGGGTTGAACATACTCACCGGATTAAGAAGAGAGTCTCATAAACCTATTATTCCGTAGTAAGTGGGGATTTTTATTTGTACATCTTAATTGCCTGTAGTTTGTGTTGAGTGATAGTCAAGCTTCACAGGTGATTCAACTCTTAACTGGAAGATCAATAGCAGTGGTGAATTTGGTTTGGCTTCTAAATCCTTTCACCTTTTCAGTGTGGCAGCTCTTGTTCCAATTTTCCTAAGTTATCCAAAGCACTGCTTCTTGATCCTTTTTTTTTTTTTTAATCCTAGTTTTATACCATCTGGTATAATCTTTACTTAAAGGGCTTCCCCATAAATCAGAGAGGCAAAAAGGTAGTGTAGAAAGAGAAGAACCAGAAGAGAGACCTGACTTTGAGATGTCCATGGTGTAATCTGAAGGCCAGAGGGGGGCCTGGTGCTCAGGAATGTGTCTGAAGAGTGGCCCCACACCTGCTGCCAGCTATCTTCCTTCCACTGGAGGTTCCTTTCTTCACCGTTGCTGGACAGAACCCGTCAGCCCCCCTCGCTGGTCCTGCCGATCACAGCTGAGGATTTGGACTGTGATGGGCTCCTACTCCTAATGGCCTGTTGAGTTGTTTTTAGTGACAGCTTTTGTTTGCTACACACCTCATGGGCTTGCTTACCGACACCAGCTAGCTGTAGTCCCGTCTTTCATATCCAAACCAGAACACATTTGGGTATTCCTGGGACTTTATAGAGCATGTATTGTTTGTTATATGAACCTAACCTACCTTGTTGTTTTCTCATATTAAGAAATGTACATCTACTTTGTTTTAGTGGAGCTATTTTGGTAATGTATAAGCCATTTTGGTTCTGTTTAGGGAGTGAGTTCAAGGTTCCCGTGACTTGAGCTTTGCTTATTTCCTATCACTATACAGCCATTTTAATTTACCTAAATAAAACATTTTCTTTTTCTCTCATTGTGTCTGACTAAAGTTCCCTTATTGCCCTGGTTACAAAAGAAGAAAAAAAAAAAAATCTTTGATCCCTATTTTTATGTGCTCCTTTTCCTCTTAAAAGGAAGGACTAATGAATGGTGGGCACAAAGTTATGGATGCCTAAGGATCTACCTTAAGAATCGCAGTACTTGGCCTGAAGACGTGACGGCTGCAGGGCTCGGGCTCTAGGTGTCTACAGTGTGGGAGAGGTGAGGCAAACAAGGCATGAGTCCCTGCCCCTGTGTCACCTGATGCAGCTCCGTTCAGGCCAGTGTTACATTTTTTTTTCTTTTTTGGGAGAGCTTTTTGCTATAGGGCGCGTGTGCTTGCCAGAAAGACAGAGAGACAGAAAGCGAGAAATCACCCCCTCAGGGGGGATGGCCATGCCGCAATCCCTTCTCCTCCTTTCTCCTCTTAGTGTCTTTGGGGCACACTCCCAGTGTGAGTTTAAGCCACTGGGTCTGGGACTCAAACCGCAGTCGACTACGTGGGAGGCCAGCGACATAACCATTATGCTAACTGCTGGTCCCGTGAGTGTTACATTTTGAGATTCAATATAAGTGCAAGCTTGCAAAAGATGTCCCACTGCCTTTCACAAAGAAAAGGAACAAAAAAAAAAAAAAAAAAACTTGAAATCAGTTGCTAAAGGGGAGTCATAGAAGGGCTGAAGCTTTTTCACATACAGAAAAAAAATACTAAATAAATTGGGCCAGCAAGTGGCATGGTGGTTAAGGCACTAGATCCCACATTGTCAACCCTGAGGTTTGAATACCAGACCCAGTGGCTTGAAAAGCACTCTGGGTGTGTGTACGGAGATGCCCAAGTCCCAAGAGGAGAATGAAGGAGAAGGGATTGCGGTGGCGTCATCCCCACCGGGTGTAATTTCTCCCTTTCTGTTTCTCTCCAGGGAATGTACACACCCTGTGGCAAAAATCTTAAAAAATAAGAAATGAACTGCATGTTTGCTATGTCCTAGGGATCTGCTCCCCCACACAGCCATACATAAAATCTGGGTAGCCCTTCCCCTCCAGGAAGCTTAGGTCCTTTGTAAAGATGCAGAGAGCATTCTCCAAAATGCGAAGGCAACAAGCTTCATACCCTGTGACAGAAGTGGGCTTTCTACCTCCACCCTGGGGCCACATAGCCAGTACTATCTTTCTCTCTCCTTCTAGGACTATTTCCAGAAGGTACAAAACTTCCTAGTATTTCCATGTAGCAGGTCATAACTTTTAGGGGGCCATGGAACACTTTGAAAAAGATACCTATGGAGTATTTCTGTGTTTCATTTCAGAGGTTCACTGACCAGCCCATCCTCTGAGCCACATAAGTGACAACGTGACGGAATGTTTTCTAACAAGACCTCGGGGAAGGGGCACCACGGTGTGTGGTGGGAGGGTGAGGAACTTTCAAGCCAGGCAGATATAAACCTGAGAACTGGCTCTGCAACCTGCAGGTTACAGAATAGGCCTTTGAAGCCTGGCTCTTCAGGAGAATCATGATGTCCATTTGTCAGTGATATTACGAGTATTAGAAGTGTCCAGAGGCAGCCACTCCAGGCCTCGGTGCACCTCAGATATTAACATGCTGTTCAGTCAGCAGTGCAGCCTGGCTTGCTGGTCTCACGATGACTTGTTTTGCCTGTGACGAGGCCACTGTGAGTTGCCGTCACTCATGTACCCTCTGCAGCCTTCAGCTCAGGCAGCTATGCTCCACGTCCTGCAGAATGGCAGTGCCTTTGGGACCGGGCCCTGGCACACATTTTTAGTCTTACTAAATACCAGATAGAGGGATATGGAGCCCCTCCATAGTACTGGTTCAGTGTGTCTCCCCACAGCCAACCTCCAGTTCCCATTTGTACTAGGTTTCGGTGACCAACGTGGTTTGCAAAATGCCCCCAAGGTACTGGGGAAGGACATTGTCCTCCTAAGAGCAAATGAGATACAAAGGAGCCTTGAACTTTATTTTTAATCTTTCATAATGTGACATCCAGATAGGCCCTGACCTGATCTCTCTGTTGATACCTCCTCCTGAGGTTAGCTCCAATTCCTGCCTGCATATCGGCAGTTCTCACCCTCAGGGAGAAGGGGCTACAATTCTGAAGCAAAAGGCTTGGCATTAGAGCAATGGTCCCCATGGGCCAGTGCAGGGAGAGAATGGAAGTGGACATTTCTTTCAGGACAGGTGGCCAACGGGTAGGATACTGAGTGGTTCAGCATGAGTGGGGGAAGATTGCAGATGGACAGGGCAAAGGGCACCTCCTGGAAGATAGGCATTGTAAGTGGGGAGCTGGCCTGGGGCTGCGGCATCAGGGAAGGTAGGAGTTCCTGTGGGGCCATCTGCGGTGCAGGGTTCAGGGGAACCTCCACCCTGGGGCTGCTGTCTTGGACGGCATGGCTCCTGCCTCCAGGTTTGTCCAGCTCCCACAGATGATCTGGGTTCTGGACCTCAGCCTCTGTCTTGGCGAGAGCAGGAGGAGGACCTGTGTTGATGGCTGCATTCATGCCGTAGTGCCTTCGCTTGTTAATCCAGTATAACAGTGGGCTGTAGGTGAAGGAGGCAGCTCTCATCACCTCCACCCACTGCTGGGCACGCTCCTCCCGCCGCTGGTTCTTCCTCCAGTGCAGAAAGAGAATGCAGCCGCCGGTTACCACAGAACACAGCCCCAGGAATCCAAAGTACAGTGAGACCCACACTGAGGTAGTAAGAGAGACAGGTTGGCTGATGATTGCTGCAGCTTGGGACCTGCCCTGTTCCTCATTCTTCCCCCTTGATTTAACCCATTCATCAATCACTGCCTGCACGCTATTCCTTCCCTCCCTCATTAACTTGAGCATCATCGTTTTTTACAGTCAAAGCTAGATTTCCGGGGAGCTTAAGAGACCATGATTTAGGGAACCAGCAGTTAGCGTAATGGCTATGTCGCTGGATTCCCACGTAGTCGACCGCGGTTCACATCCTGGACCCAGTGGCTTAAAACTCATGCCGGGCGTGTGTGCATTCATGCCCAAGATGCCAAGAGGAGAATGGAGGAGAAGGGATTGCAGCGTGACCATCCCCCCGGGGGGTGATTTCTCGCTTTCTGTCTCTATGTCTCTGTCTGGCGAGCGCACGCGCCCTACAGCAAAAATCTCTCCCCCAGAAAAAGAGACCATGGTTAGCCCTTAATAGACTGGGAAGGTTAGGTCCAGAGAGGGCATGACCTACCCAAGCTCAGTCAGCCTCTGGTTTCCAACCCAAGACCCATTCAATCCATCAGACCAGGAAGTCTCACTAAGGGCAAGGCCATCAAGGATGTAAAAGTTCACCAGCTCACAGGGACACCAAAATCTCATCCATAGGGCCTTAGTTTTCTAGAACAGATTATCTCCTAACTGCTTAGCACTCCTCCATGCAGGCAGCCACTACCCCATCCATGCATAAGGTCTTCCCCGAGTGCCCCCAAGCCCAAGGGCACAAGACAAGGGGTAGGAGTTAGGGTGGCACTTACTGCCAGAAAAGCTGAGATCATCCTATTGAGGGCCCATAGGTTGAGCCTTGGTACCCAGCTGATAGCTTCGGAGAGAGAGAGCTCACCCACCCTTGTCTGGCCAATTGCGGTGCCTAGAATGCCCAGACCCCATTGTTCCCTAGAGGAAAGGTCACCAGGTTCTGAACTTTGGTTACTGTGGAGGCAGTGCTTAGGGGGTGGTCCTAAGTTAACGGAAGGAAGGGACTCTAGAATAAGCAGGTGGCATGGTGGCTAAAGGTGCTGGATTCCCACATGGCGTACTATGGTTCAAGTTCCAAACCCAGTGGCTTTAAACTGTGCGTGTGTGCGTGCATGCCTATAATCCCAGGAAGAGAATGGAAAAGAAGGGATGCAGTGTGGCCATCCCATCCCCCCCTAGGAGGTGGGGGGGGTGTCCACACTTTCACTCTCACTGTCTCTATCTCTCTGGTGAGCACACATGCCCTGTGGCAAAAATCTTAAGGAAAAAAAAAAAGAGACTGTCTCTCTGGTGAGTACATACACCCTATAGCTAAAATCTTTTTAAAAAAATTAAAACAGAAGGGGGAGAGAACAGAGGCTCTCTACTACTACCGTGAGCACAGTGTCTCTGCTACTTCTATCAGAGACAGGTCCACCTCCGAATTGTCTGCCCCAGCCCATATCGTGAACCCCAGAGCAGACTCCAGGAAATTACAAGCTACAAAGATAAGCTACCTAGAGGGTTTATCTATACTGGTGGTCTTTAGGGAATAGTTGATGAGAAATTGTCCCTAGAGGAGTGGGGGAGGGAACACAGAGACCATTAGGCAGTCCTGCCTCAACAAAGTCTGACCAAGTCATCAAGAGGAAACCTGCTCAAGGAATGCAGGTGGTCAGCACCTCCTGTGTCAGCTCCTACAACTCTGGTTTAGTTCTCTTTGCTCAACAAGTGCTGGCAAGGGTTTCCTGGGTATCAGGTCCTGGGGGCCTCACCATCCCCTGGCCCTGCCTCTTCTTCTAGAGCCTCACCTTCCTCCCCTTCTTTCACTCATCTTTCTGGTCAGCCCGGACTCCAGGAAGGGTCTTGCTTAGTGACTTTCCTGGAGTTTTTATT